GTGGACATTTTTTTGTGCGACATTTGTTTTGGTTCGTCCGTCTGCCCACGCCTGCGATCCCACGACATCTTAATTACTGATTGATTGTGTCATTCTCCTTGATTCAATATTGCCTGTCATGTGATAGAGGAATCACGGCAGAATAGGAAGTAGAAAATTATTGTGCTATCCATATACACATTGCATGTTTGTATGCACCAGCATACATGGCAAAGAGCAAAAGAAAAGAGAATTAACACAGAAGGAAAGAGAATTAAGACAAAATAAGCCTCTTTGCATTTCTGAAAACCTTGCCAAATCTGCTCATATTTAATTACTTCCCCTCTTTGCATTTGCAAAAGGGACAGCTTTTTCTTCCTTTCATTTGGTTTAACGCTCACGTGTTCCATCGCCTTCGCTTGCTGTTTCTTGCGTGAACCATAGTTGATGTCATCTGTCTTCCATTACTCAGCCTCCCAATCCCAAGAGAAAGTCCCTACCTCTTCCTGACTGGAGATCCGGCCCGCCAGAGGATCTCCTCGAGTCCATCGGGCAGCGTCTCGCGTCAGGCCACGACGCGGCGTCCTTCCAATCTGCTTGCTACCCATGGCGCGCCGCTGTCCCGTTCGTGACCTTTGGGCCGCTCCTGCTGCTCCCGTTAGATCCTGACTCGGACCGCGTCGGCTTCTACTGCGTCCCGGAGAAGGTCTTGTCCAAGACGCTGCCCGACGTGCGCGGCAAGGTGGCGTGCAGCTCCTCGTGTGGGTGGCTGGCGCTCATGGACGAGGCGGCGTCCGTGACGCTGCTGAATCCATTCGCCTATGCTCGTGCCCCCCGCGTTGAGCTCCCACCAGCAGGCGAACATGTCGTCGCGGCGTCCTCATCGGAACATGTGTCTAGGGTCCACAGCCGATGGGTCCTCCATCCCACCAACGGCTACGGGGACGCGGATGCCGCAGGTAGAGCCATTAAGCTAGAAGATATGAGGGACGTGTTCTTCCGTGAGATCGTGCTCTCGGCGCCGCCTGACGCTGCCGGCCGCGAGTGCGTGGCCATGGTCATGCTTGGGTGCTCCACGGAGGTCGCGTTCTGCCGGGTTGGAGTCGACAACGCATGGACGCTGCTCGACACCAAACTGGAGTTCTCCGTGGGGTCCATCGTCCACTGCCAAGACAAGTTCTTGGCGATCGACTGCACTGGAGAAATCTCTGTCTGCAGCAGCAACGCCGCCGATGCTACTCCAACCGCGACGCTGCTGCCATCGCTGTCGTCACCTGCGGGGCTCTGCCACCGCAGCTACCTGGAATCAAACGGTGAGCTGCACATTGTGGGTGCCATGGTGAGCACGTTCCACAAGACACAGAGCTTCACCTACAGCAACGCGATCTACAAGTGCAACCTCCACGACCGTACGCCGGAGTGGTCCAGGGTGAGGGACATCGGTGATCAGACACTGTTCGTGTATAAACATTTCAATGAAAACTTTAGTGAAACAAGTGTATCCAAGTACAAGTAAAACAAAATCTATATGTCTGAGCTATTGTATGGGGATCCATACGACTTGGTCCATCGACTGGAGATCGTTGATATTGCTACCGGCGCATCCGAAGTGAAGCCCGTCCAGGAAAAGATGTAGGGTTCCGAGGCTCTAGGTTGGATTCGAACCAATCTCTAGAAGCTCTAGAGTTTGTGAGTCTGCGACGCCGCGCACTCCGTGACTGTGTTAAATTCATAAACTTTGCTTTTTGGATTAAATGTCACTTTAACGTTAGTATTTAATTTAACAGTATTGTTATCTTATGGTGCGATCCATGTGTTTTTAGTATAAATCATTAGTTATCCCGTAGCAACACGGGCACGCTACCTAGTAGTACTAATTAGTAAATACATTATATTTATATAAATATGGTGTGACTAAAGTTCTAAATTGTACTGTTATGATTTCATCGAAGGACTAACCAAACAATATTAAGTATACCAGCACAATCTTCCTCAATCTAAAAGGAAAAGGGTTTTAATTATTATCGTCCCAGTGCAATTGACTCAATAAATGACCTAATCTAAAGCCCAACCTTCTAAAGTGATTCATAATTAGTTTTTTGACTAGGTTTGACCCAAATGGCGCATCCATCAAGGGCCATGTAGGCCTGGTCATGGGGCAAGGCCAAGCGTTACCCGCCTACCTTTTTTGAGATGGCACAATTCTCTACATGATTTTAGGGCATCTTTACCGGTTCTCCCATTCAATCCTGATCATATATACGTAAAAATTAGTATTCATAAGATAATGGTATGGTAATACATAGATCTCCTATCTCATCTCCTATACCTATAATTTTTAAAAGATCTTATTAAACATGTCCACTCTCCTAGTGAAAAGAGAGAACCCCTTCTTCTATCCCTAAAGAAATATATAATACAAATTTTAGATGATCTGAAGCAGCAGCAGCAACAACAACAACAGTAACTCCTATGTGCTAAAATAATTTTAGGGTACTATCATATCAGAAGACATATAATATAAAAATTAGGTAGAGTTGCTCTATTCTATAACTCTAGCATGAGCCCTTAGACCTTATTTAGCTACACTCGTATTAACCTTAACCATTTCAACACATATGGATTGAAATGAATATAAGTACATCCAAACAAACCCTTATATAGAAAATAAACTCCTACACCTATCTAAACTCACATTAAATCCTCAGGCCACCCCTTTACTAGTTACAATATTTCAGCCCATGGGCCGTCGCAGGTTGTTCCTTTCTTCACCCTGCATGCAAGGCTTGCGAAGTTGCCGTGGGTGCGGCAGCACGTGCAGTGACAAACATGTCACCCTTACTTAGGGGAAAAAAGAAATAAAAAGAAATGATAGCAACAAAGTTAAGGGATATTAGCTGAAAGGGTCGGCTGATTACAAAGCTACAAGGGATGTTGACTGAAAGAGTCAGACAGACTAAGGTTCTGTTCGGCTGGAAAAACGGCTGATGCTGATGCTGATTTATTGTATGAAAAAAAAAAATGTTATTATTTCGCTGAAACGGTACGGCTGATAAGTTCAAGCGAACAGAGCGTAAGCGATACAATTTACAGCACCAAACAACAATTTATATGCTTTTTAATTATTTTTCTTTTGAGAATGATGCCAATGAAAAACGAACTCAACATGCTAGGCATAACTTCAGCCAACTAAAGCATTTTTTATTTTGACCGAATCAGCAGAGGAGTACCCTACCTATTTTTCTTTTCTTTTTCAATTAAAGAATGTAAAATTAAAGCATCATTGATAGTCTACTGATTTGCTTCCTGAGTTCAGTGACTTGGCAACTTCGGGACCGTATCTTAGGCAACTGATTCAGCCTGAGGATGAAAAGTATAGCCGTAAAATCAATACGTCAGAAGAAAATGGTCTGTATATAGGCTACTGAACGGGATGGCACTTATAAAAAAAAGGATCAGAATGGCGGTGCACCTAGTGGCTATTGCAGATTTCATCCTATCCATACCTCACGCACAACTACAACTATCTGGGTTCGCTAGTTGGCACTGCTACCGCTCGGATGTCCGCACAGACGCCTACGTTCGGACGCCCGCCGTTGCAGTCCGTTTCCGCACCACCGTTTTGCGCATCCATGCGGGAGCCCACGCTGCCCGGACATCGCCCACCACGCCTGCGTTTCGCCCGCCCACGCGGGGCCCGCGCCGCTTAGGATGCCGCCCACACGAGGCCGCTCGCGCCCCCCTCCCGCTTCCCACGCGCATCCCATGTGCAAGACCTGGTCTATTTGAAACATTCAAATACAACACTTACAACATACAAAAGAAGATAGATAAAACACTTGGAACATACGTCTGAAGCACTTGCAAAGACACTTGAAAACCATTTACGCAACATCAAGATAAAACACTTGCACCATATGTGTTAAACATATGCAACATCCAGATAAACACTCTTGCAATATAAGACTAAAAACATATGAAACATTGAGAACAGACACTTGCAACATACCTCTGAAATATTTACAACATGTACAACATTCTGATCTACTTTTGCAACATCCATATAAAACATTTACAACGTACCTCTGAAACATATTAAACACTTGAAACAAACATTTGCAACAGGAGGGGGGTGGTGGGAGGGTGGTGGAAGTCGATCGATCCGCGCTTATGGGTGCCCTTGGCTCGGCCGGGGACGACCTGAGGTGTCTCGGCACGTGCGCCCAATGGTGATGCATAAGGATGTCAACGGATCGGGTTTGGGGCATCCATGGTCCGCTGCGGGCGGGTTTGGGGATGGTTTTTATGGGTGCCCAATCGGGTTCGGCTCGACCGGGGACGACCTAAGGTGTTCTCATGAAAATATTTATTATTTGTCGCCTCCATGGTGATGCATCCGGTCGGTTTGGTATCCATTGGGTTTCGGGGTTGGAGAAGAGTTTTGATGATGGATTTCCACCGAATCGGAGGCGGCGATTCGATTTGGGTTTCGGTTTTGGGTGCACGGAGACTCCACCCGAGACCCGGCACATGAGATGGAATAGAAGAGGATAAGCAGTCTGAGTGGCCACTCGAAGAGGTAAGCAGTCTGAGTGGCCACTCGAGGTGGAGGTATCGATTTTTTTTTTACATGTGGTGAATATAATACGTGAACCACGTAGACGTAGCGTTCGGAGAGGCTCCCGACGTCGAGACGCTCTGAAAAAGATGGTCCAGTACTTGTTTCCACAACAAATAAATCTTCTACATGGGCCGCCCATATGTTTCTGCAGGCCTAGATAAAGCCTAGCCCATCTGTTATGCAACTTTCTGTTTGATGACAACGACTAGTCTCCTGTTCAACTGTTCGTCAAGACGTCAACACGACACGGGACACACACGTTTTTGCGGTTATAAACGTCCGTCAGTGATTAATAATACTGTAAATCGCGACAAGGACTCGTCATCCACTCCATTGCTGCTGCCCTTATCATCAGCGCCAGCGACCTGCCAGCCCGAGAAACCGAGGGACAGGGAGATCGATGGCCGCGCCAGACCCGCCGCCGCGGCCAGGGAAACCCCCGCTGCCGTGGCGCGCGCGGCTGCTTGTGGGCGCCGCGTCCGCGCTGCACGCCGCCTCGCTCCGCCGAGATGGCACCGTCAACCGCTTCCTGCTCTCCCTCTTCGACCGCGCCGCGCCGCCCACCCCGACGGCCCCCTTCGGCGGCGTGGCATCCACGGACCACGCCATCACCGACCACCTGCGCGCCCGCCTCTTCGTCCCGGAGATCCCCTGCGGCGGCGGCAAAGGGCTCCCGGTGGTCGTGTACTTCCACGGCGGCGGCTTCGTCTTCCACTCCGCGGCGTCGGCGCAGATCGACAAGCTGTGCCGCCGCCTGGCGTCGGCCATCCCAGCCGTCATCGCCTCCGTCGACTACCGCCTCGCGCCCGAGCACCGCTTCCCGGCACCCTACGACGACGGCGAGGCGGCCCTCCGGTGGGTCCTCGCCGGCGCGGGCGGCGCGCTGCCGTCTCCCGCCGCCGTCTTCGTGGCCGGGGACAGCGCAGGCGGCAACGTCGCCCACCACGTCGCCGCGCGCCTCCCCGACGCCGTCGCGGGCCTGGTCGCCGTGCAGCCCTTCTTCGGCGGCGAGGCGCCGACGGAGTCGGAGCTGCGGCTCTCCGCGACGCCCCGTTCGGGAGCCCCGAGCGGCTGGTGTGGCTGTGGCGCGCGTTCCTGCCCCCCGGCGCCACGCGGGACCACGAGGCCGCCAACGTGCCCGCCGCGATCAGGCGCGACGCGGGCGCGGACCGGTGGCGGGCGTTCCCGCCCACGCTGGTGTGCGTCGGTGGGTGGGACGTGCACCAGGACAGGCAGAGGGCGTACGCGGACGCGCTCCGTGCCGCGGGCGCCGAGGAGGTCACCGTGGCGGAGTACCCGGACGCCATCCACGCGTTCTACATTTTGGACGACCTCGCGAACAGCAAGAAATTTGTGGGCGACGTCGCGGAGTTCGTGAACCGGCACGCACAGCAGCGGAAGAAACGCGCGCTAGACCATGCGAAGGACTAGTGTTATCCGTTTGCAAGGATCGCAAGAAATCCTAGGACTGAAGAAACTTCCTTTGTGGAAAATGGAGGCAGCGACTGATAGACTGAGCTGCCAGTGTTCATCCCCAGTCCCTCTGTCATTGTTAGTTACCAGCTGGTTTAGATTGATTGTCAGCTCACTCGACTGTGTATGCTCCAAAACTTCCCAGCCAATCAATGATCGATTCATCGCAGAGGTTTGTCATCGGGATACTACATTGATTTGATGGTCCATAGTATTACTTGTCATCCTGATCTACTATTGCCGTCTCCAACAATTTTCAGTGTCATTCTGACACGGCCCCTTCGTGGTTTATGTAAGGCCTTCTAATGGTGGCTTTTGGTTTGTTGATCAGAGCTTCGTGTGGTGTTGGTTTTCTTCACTAGTATTGGATTCGGCTCAGGTTTCGGTTACGATATCAGTATATCACCCTTGTATTAGAACTAGGAGATGTAAGTGTATTATAGTTGCGCTAATACACTTTGGTGTCTTAGGCCCTCAGACTGTCCTTTTTTTTGGTTTGTAGCTATAGCTGTTGCTGCAGAGACCAAATTGTTTAATTTCGTTGTAATACCTAGTCTGTTTTTTTTAATATAATTGGCAGTTTTTCAGTTTGATTCTTTTTTAAAAACTACTTATTCCTACAGAATGTGCTACTTATGTGTAGAGCATAGCTGATCAGGCTGTTAGCTACGTGTGCCGTCCACCTGTCCCTTTGTAATAGTCTAGCCTTGATGTATCCTCTTTGTGGGCCCGTTTGATCATTGGAATTGAATTTATTTTAATAATTACAATTTAGACATAGATTAATTAATATAATATAGTTATATATGGAATATATTTGTATATTTATTGTTAGGCATACGAGGGACATACTTATATATTACATTTCTATTGTAGAGAAGTGAGTTGAAGAGTGTGCTATAAGTTGAAGAATATAATTATAGTATAGTGATCTATATAATCTATTTTCATCTCCCACCCTATGAATTTGAGATAGGCTTATTTGTGAGTTTAAGAATGTTATGAAATGTCAAAATCCAAGCCAAATAGCCTAATCCATTATGTAGATTTCAATTCCTCCAAAACGAAGGGATCAAACGGCCCCAAGGATATCTGAGCGAAAGTTTCCATTATTTGAACCTTTTTTCCAGTTTGTTTTTGTAAGACTAGCAAAGATGCCCATGCGTTACAACGGGAGAAAAAACAATATCTCTAGCTAGGTCAATGGACTTAATTCAACTCAAATGATCACCTCACCTTCCACCGTTGATTACTATAGCTCAAATTAAAAGTACACGTTTCTCTCCCATCCAGAACCACGTGGCACAATAATGTTAATTTGTTGTCATAATATTTATACTATTTTCTATAAGGATGGTCAAATCTAAAATAGTTTGATTTAATGTAATTCTAAATGTTTAGGGTTGCAACAAGAGAACAAACCTAATTTTTTAAAATCCATTATTATATAAACCACTTTAATCAAAATACAATCATAAATTATTAAATTGATTTTAATGTAAAAGGGGTTATATATAGATCCTAATTAAGATTCATCGTGGCTAATATAATATTGAAGCATTATTATAATTAAGATTCATCGTGGTTAATGTAAAAGGGGTTACATAAAATTTTATAGGCTAATGTTAACTAAAATTGAAGCATTATTATAATTTCATTATTCAGTTAATGCATTATTACGCAACGACCACTGAAAGGAATTATGCACCTCGGTATTATTTTGTTCGTTTTTTTTTGCAAAACGGTATTATTTTGTTCGTTTGCCTTCATCTCTCTAGTCAGCCTGAGCATTCGGTATTACCGAACCGATCGGTTCAGTACTTCGGTTCCTAGAGAAATTCGATTCCTCGGAAAATAGGTACCGATCGATTTGTTCCAAAATTCAGTACCGAGGAAATTCGGTTTCGGTATTTTCGGTTCGGTTTCGGTATTTACCGAAAAATACCGAATTGACCACATGGACATGTAATAGTAGGTTCAAAAAGTAATTTTGACATAATTTGGACATGATTTCATAGAGAATAATAATGCCAAATACATACATATAAAAGTCTACAAGATTATAAGAGTAGACTACCACAAATACATAATATAATAGATTAAAATAGTGCTATCAATTATATAACAATACTCAAACTCAGCATAGTTCGGTAAATTCGATTCCCCGAGTTAAAATACCGAATTTACCTCGGTTCCTGGGAATTGGGAACCGAACAGGGTACCGAAAAAATCGGTTTCGGTATTTTCGGTTCGGTTAGGTTCTCGGTATTTTTGGTTCGGTTCTCGGTATTTTGTGCAAGGAAAAATTTTTAGTCGTCAATCAATATAATGGCAAAGAATTGACGCATCAATGCTACGGTGACCACTGTGTTAGTGTTGATCTCATCCGACTCGGCCCAACGGTCGAGTCAGGCCTTGATCCAGTGCCCTGATCGGGGCATCCAACCAAACCAAAGTTGGTGGGCCCCCGTCGTGTAGCACCATATAAAGGGAGGTGTAGACCAGGGCGTAAGGATGAGGTTCACCTGAGCCGCTAGACGTCCGGACCTACTACCTAACCCTAGACCGATCGAGAGGGGTGCTGCCAGCGACGGGAAATGTCACCACCGCCTCTACACCACGTCGGACTCCACTGCGTCTTCTACCCGACGTCGCCGCCATCGGATCCACCGCCGCCGGACGACCCCACCGACTGGACCTCGACATGGACGGCTCATCCTCCTCAAAACCGACAGTCAGCCACTCCTACATCTCCCCCTCTCACTGTCTCCCTCTCTGTATCATGTTATAGGTCGAATTGAACTAAACCAGTAATAAATTCACCCTCTAATCTACACGTAGATCATCCTCAGATTTCAACACACTGACCATACATTCATTTCCTCCGTCCGTGCACCGTGGCCCAGGCGCCAGAATCCAGATGGCCTGCACAATTACGGCCAATCCCTTGACTTCATGCACGTCTTCACTGCCATGCCCCAGACACTGTAGCACGATGCATCCATTCAACACCAGAAAAGAGTGCAGCATCCGTTCAACAGCGCAAAAGCCCCTTTCCTCCTGAGCTCATCCATCTGGCTAGATACTGCTGCTACCATGGGCCGTCTCCCATCATTGCTGCCAAGAATAAAAAGGCGAGACATGGCCCGGGCAAAATCTGAAGCTGCTTCTTCGGCTTTCCATGGACGCGCCCCAGCAGCACCAGCTTTTTACTCCTCCAAAGTCCAAAGGAAGGAGAAGACGGAAGTTCCCACGAAGCGGCCTCTCCCCCATTTCCAAGCCTGTCTCCGACGCTTTCCGCCGGCGCCGGCGCCAGCCAGCCTAGGAGTTCGCTAATCATTTCGCTAAGGGCATGTCGGATTGAGGCCGGGAATTATTCCCGCTTTGAATCCGGCCCACTTTTCATTCCTCGACCCAGATTTCGGAGGAATTCGTTCCTGCGGGTCATAGGTGGAGATTAGTTCCAGGGAGTTAAATTGTCGAAACAGGTCGGATTATAATCTAGGCTAGACTTAACCGAACGTCTGTTCCGTACTGGACTGGTATTCATTCCGTGCTGGCCCAGTCCGGTGGAATGGACCTCTTTCCGGGCCGATCCGAGTGAAACGAACGAGGCTTATTAAACAATCGTTCCGGCCAGGAACAGTTCCAGGTCTTCGTTTCGAAATAACCGAACAGGCCTTAATGCGGCGCGGATGGTTGATAGAGCATGCACGCCAGAGTTCATTGTCTTCACTGATTGATTGGCCGGTGCTCGTCGATTGGACGGACGTGATCCACCGGACAGAGAAATCTCACCGAACCAATACGCATCGCGCGATGTGCGGCTCCTGCAAGAACTCTCCAGGAATCTCGCTTCGCTGTGAGCCTGTGACCGAAAGGCTTCCGGTTTCCCAGCTCCATGGCTAGGTTCGTCGCTGTGGCACGAGCCGTCACTCGTCACTTCGGCAGTTCATTCAGCACGTACCGCTGCTGTGTTGCCGGCCGGACGGACGCATTGGTGGGCCGTGGCCTACTGATTAAAACGGGTCGGATACATGATATCACTGGTATTATATTTATTTTTATATTTCTGTTCGGATTCAGATTTGAATATAGATAATTGTCATGTTCGCTTGGTCTTGTTTGACTGATAAATTATGGCTGAAAGTCTGTTGGCTGATTTGATGTGAGAGAAAAATATTGTTCGTTGGCTGAAAAAAAGTACGGCTTATAAGTCAAATAAGTCCAAACGAACAGGGTGAATGTCAACCATGCTGGATAAGATATGATTGGATATCGACATCGTAAATATACGATTTGAATATTCGGATATAAATACGGTATCGGACGTTGAATGTCCGGATTCGGATACGGATAGATCTGAACCCGTCTAAACAGATTCGGTCTCGAATCCGGTCGAAAAATTCATCCCTAGCCGTGGGCATTGGCAGTGCTCTGTTCCAGCCTGGACGCTCAAGGATTTGTGCAAGTATACTTTTTGTTCAGCAGCAGCAGAAGATCCTTAGACCACTTTCATCATCCCATGATCATGCCACGTTCAAGTTTGACTTTTCAAGAGCACTCAAGGTGTTTCATGCTTTTATCTACCTGTTCGTTTGCCTGATAAGCCATAGCTGAAAATACTGTTGACCGATTTGTTGTGAGAGAAAAATATTGTTCGTTGACTGAAAAGTACGACTTATAAGCTAAGCGAACGGGGCGTTAAATATACTACTGGTACTGTGTTCTCATTATACTTCATCAGACACTAGACAGCGTCGCAGCTCAACTGTTCACATGCACAACTCAACTCCCTAAATAAATAAACAAAATCCACAGGCACAAACAAGAACAAGGCGACACACGGAAACGAAAAAGAAGAGTTTTTTTTCTCCCGCTCCGGCACGGCGGCACTGGCCATGGTAGTGTGACCACACACACTGATTGCTCTGTCTCTCCATCCACGGGCATCGCCATCACATGACGCTGCACCCGGCATTGGGGTCCTCACAGCAGTGCTGCTGCTGGGGGTAGTACGACTGCCGGGCGCCGCCGCCGCCGCCGCCGTACCACCCCTGGCTGTCGTACACCGGCACGCCGTAGTAGCCGCCGGGCGCGGCCGGCTTGCCGCACCGGCAGTAGCCGTTGTAGCCGCCGCAGCCGCAGCCGTAGCCGTAGCCGTACCCGCCAGCGCCAGCGCTGTAGTCGTAGCCCGGGTTGTAGCCGTATCCGGACACGGACCCGGCGGGCGCGGGCCAGATGGACGGCACGGCCACGCCCTGCGCGGCGCCCGGCGCCATCATCGGCGGCGGCGCGATCGGCTCGCCGCGCGGCGGCTCTGGCCCGGCCTTGGCCGCCATCATCTTCTCCAGGAGCGGGCCAAGGTCGGCCTTGGTCATGCCGGGCTTCGCGTCCGCCGCGGGGGCCCCACCGTCGAGGTCGAACTTCACCTTCTTGGCCTCCGCCTTCCCGTCCTTGTTGCCTTTCTCCGCCTTGTCTGGCTTGGCATCCTTGTCGCCCTTGCCCTCCTTTTTCTCGGCCTTCTCTTCCTTCTTCTCCGCCGCCTTGGCGCCCTCCTTCTCGGCCTTGCCGCCCTCCTTGGCCTTGCCGGCGTCCTTGGGCTTTTCGCCGCCGCCGTCCTTGCCCTTACCGGCGTCCTTCTTCTCCTTGCCCTTGACGTCCATCTCCTTGATGACCCGGCCGGCCTTGCAGCAGAGCTTGTTGCAGACCATTTCGGCGTCGAACGGCCCGGAGATCGTCACGGTATTGCTCTTCTCATCAAACGAGATCGTCTTGATGTTCATCTTGTCTGCGCAACACAAATCAGTCAGAATCAGCCATGCTCATGCCCTTGTGCGGCCAGTCAATCATCTGCACATAACAGTACGTTAATAAATAATTATAATTAATAAAAAAAACACAAAACAGTTGTAAACAGCAGCTGACAGGTGAGCCCAGCAACTGGCGAGGTGAATGCTCATGCAGCCATGTGACGGTAGCGGGCCCACATGTCAGCGAGGGTACCAGGCACACTGTGTGACAACTGACAGGCCCTGGTGAACCGCAGAGGCGTCTCTGCATTCGTGAATGAATGGTGATGAGAGCGGTAGTACAATACTGGACTGCACCTTGGATCTTGCAGAGGACTTTTCTGATCTTCTTGTAGCATCTCTCGCATTCAAGGTCAACCTTGAGGACGATCGTGGAGATCTGCAGCAGAGAGATCGAAGGATTCAATGACGGTATTAAATGCAGTACTATTATTGGAAGCAGATCCGACTGTGTACAACAATACTCCAATTCAATTGCCAAGTTTTTAGTCAGGGATTAGACGGTACTCCCTGATACAATGAACTCACAAAGCAGGAGAAGATTTCACACATGTATTACTAAAAAAACAATTACGTACACATTGCATTCCCAGCGAACTCCTGGAAAAACCATGTCTAGATGGACATGAACTGGACCAAAAATAAAAGGCAGGGAAAAAGACGGTGACTCATGAATCCTATGTTTGAAAAGCGAGCGATTGCGATACAAATGCGAAAACGACAGTATCGGAGGTTGAAAAAAAATTGTAGCCTTGTTGAAAAGCCTGTGTGGAAAACGGAAAACCAGACAAATGGACAAACCAGACGTGAGCCTTCAACTTCATCATCTTGGCATGGAAGCGGTTGGGGAAAAGGCAACTGGATTCTGGTCAGAGTCACCCAGGGCCAGGGAACAGTTGCTTGCTCTGTACTTCACTCGCCATACCATACCACATACCCTCTGCCCTCTGGTTGAGTGCTTCACACTTTAAGGGGTACTATATATACTATATTTGTGTTTAGACCAAAAATGGCGTGCATCAATTCATCAACCTCCAATAAGCTTTTCAAGTGTCCCTATCAAACATAACTCTGGTTTGTTTAGTCCTGATTTTCTGAACATCTTTTCTCGTATATATCAACAAAAGAAAGGCCATTTCTTTCCCTACTAGACTTTGTCCTGAACAGGAGAACTTCCTAACCGAAAACCCAATGGCCTCTATCTGAAAACTGCAACCAGGCAGGGGAAAGGGGAAAAAAAAGGGTCGAGAGAAACACAGCACACAGAGATCGATCGACGCCAATGAACTGAACCACGAGGAGTCGCAGAATTGCAGTTCCTCCCCAGTAACAACCACCAACAAGACACGAATGTTTCTACCGAGAACAACCCGAGAGCTCAGCGCACGCACGCAGGCAAAGAAAGATCGGCAGGGCTCATATCGCGCAGAGGAACCCGGGAAGCGGCAGCGAGGGAACAAGTAAAGAAGCATCGCGCGCATCAGGACTCATCTCATCGGCGTTCGAGTTCTTACCTTGTCCGCCATGGGAGTGGCGCTCGAATGAGTCGCCGATCCGTCACCGTCCTGGTGCCCGCCGGCTCCGAGCTCCGGGATGGCGGCTGCCGCGGGAGTGCGTGTGTGCGTGCGCGTGGGGAAGGAGAGCGAAGGGTGTAGGCAGAGGGGGGTGGTGGCTGCGGCGCTTTAAAACCGGAAGCCTGCTCGCTCGCGCACGCTGGCACGCAGCCGCGGTGCGTCCTGAGCACCAACCCCGGGCCACCGACGCATGGGCCCCCAGTCCGCGCTCCTCTTTGACCCCTATTAGCTGTGCCTGCGGCATGTGCCGAGGCGTTGCGTTGCCATGCCAGTGGCACTATGGCCGTGCCTTGCCAAGTTGCCAGTCGGTGGCCGCTTGGGGCATTGGGCACACAGACACACGACTACCGACCAGGACGCTTGGGTCCTCGCAGGAGGAAATCACATCGGCGTACTAGCGCCATCCGTCAAGAGACCAAACAAGCAAAACATTTTCTGAAATGAAATGGCACGACACGCACCTTTCACCAAACAAAAGCTCTGTTCGGCACGGCTCGAAATGGCTTCTATTACAGTGTGCGGCAGGTATTGGAATCAAAGAAAAAAATAGTGGCTTCACACACTCCTAGATCATTTAGAGAGAGAAATGACTCTTTAATACAGTGCACGGAGGAGCCAGAGCCGAAGTCGTGGCACACCTTAGATTTTGGATGAATCAGTTCTTGATACACGTGGCTGATATTTTTTTTCACGCATAGAATCAACGCCGTAGATGCTCTTATCATAATGTTATTTGGTCATATTATTTTCATTTAGGAGTTTTGATTTCCAAAATCAAACTTTTAGCTATAAATTCTTTATATAGTACTCTACTAATGGATTTCAAAAATCATAATTCTTTGCTGGTGCTTTTAGATATGAATCCAACAATACATATTTGTGGCATATTGATTTACTGGCATGTTTGGGTTGACGGACGTACCGATCCACAATCATCCGAACTTAGAATGTCTGTTTGGTTTGTGTCATGAGTTGAAGAGATCTGACAGCAACCCATCCTTCGTAATCTTCCCTGCTAGCCTAATTTGATGGATTGGCCAATTCCTCAAAAATTGTTGGACAACGTGGCTCCGTTCCATGACGGACGGATCAAACGATGCCGCAATCCGAACAGATTGAAAATGGTAAAGGCTAATGACTTGCATACAATCTACCCTGCAAAAGAACAGATTGAATAGCAAGCCAACCCTGGCGCCAATCGACTTTCATTGGGCTGAACAGTTGGAGCCAATCCATTCCGAGAATGATGTCATGATGGCCCAGAGGCAAGATCCTAAGATCATGCTGAAACTGATAATTGTCAATAGTCCAAACTGCCCTAGGTAGGAGACTAGGGCCCTGTTCGGCTGGCTGAAAAAACGGCTGATGTTGATGCTGATTTGCTGTGAGATAAAAACGCTGTTATATCGCTGAAACGATACGGCTGATAAGTTCAAACGAACAGGGCCTAACACACTGCATTGTCTGTCCATTGGCCACCCTGACAATGAAGGGCTTGCACTGCACTGGGAGAACAGAAAGCCGAGTAACCAATTCTTGACTTATGAAAGAAGTAGAGCTGCCTGAATCAAGAAGTATCAGAATAGGGAGCTGATGAATCTGTCCTCTAAACAAACATTGACATAACCGTTCCTCATCTTCTTCTGTTGCCGGACTGTCTACAGTATCTTTAGTCAAGAAAAGAGCATAAAGTTCTTCTAGCACATGGAGACCGACTTGGGCGCACGCTTGTGGTCCCGACTCCACTTCTCTCCGCAGTGATCGCACAGCCCGTGAGCACGACGATATGCCTTGAGGTCGGCAAGACGACGATCCAGAGGTTTGGGGCCCGAACACGGCTTATTAGCGGCAACTGCTTGTGGCTTATCAACTCCTGGTGGAGGAGGCAGAGGGTAGGCGCCCTTCGGAGCTCATTGTGGCACCAATGGAGCATCAGTACACCTCCAGTCACGCTTCTTTGAAGGATCGCCTGCTTCTTCCTGTAACAAGGCAAGAGTGGAACGTGTGATAAATGCAGGATCGACTTTCATTGGGTTGAACAGTTTTTGCACCAATCGAGGGAGCTAGGATGCTGAACAAGAATAATTGCACGTATGTCTCGATGCAGCCCATCAGTGAAACGTGTGATGTAATGCAGGGAGTTTGTGGTGGGATCATAGGCAGTTAATTGGGAGAAGCGATCCACGTAATCCTGAACAGACGAAGTCTGTCGAATGCGATAAAGCTGGCGAAGGAGGAATTCATGCTGGTCACGGTCGAAGCGTGTATGCAGAGCACTACGGAATTCAGACCATTGCATAGTTTGGAGTTTAGGTGTAGCGGATTGGATCCAACGCTTAGCAGGTCCTGTGAATTGCATGCGAGAACACTGAATCCAGACAGAGGGATCAACAGAGTACATCTCAAAGTAGTCTTCCGCGCATGTAATCCACAAATGAAGATCAGTGCCATCGAATGAGGGAAAATGCAGTTTGCTTGGGGAGCTTGCCGGTAGGGTTGTGGGGTAAATCGGGTGGGCGATTGCGCGACAAAACTAGATCATATGTAGTACCATGTAACTTAACAGGATTTGCAGAGGAATCGGCCATACCCATGACCAGGGAATAAGTGAGGGTGGTGACAACCCCTGCTCATTCTTCGGGTGGTGGTTGTCGACGCGGTGTCCGTTGGGCCGAGCAGCCATGTAGCCAGCAGGTGGGGGCGCGACGTGCTGCTCCGATTTGATGGGAGGCTCGAGGATGAGCGCCGGCTCGACGGTGGCTTCAATCACGGAACGATTCCAGTACTTGTCGAGCTTGCCGATGCGTAGGCACAGGTCATCGACGACACCCTCGGAGGCGGCTTGCTCGATGATGGAGAGGCGCGCGTCCTGGCGTAACTCCGAGTCGAGGATGCGGCGCTCGACGGCGGTGTCCGACTCCTCGAAGAGCTTCTCCATAAACGAATAAGCCTCCTGGATGCGGCGCTCGAGCAGATCGCGCTGATCCGTGAGTTGCTTCTGGATTGTGATTTGCTCGACGGCGAGCTTCTGGATTTACGCCAGGAGAAGTTGCGTATCGGGGTTCATGGCTCCTAATCGCCTGGCGAATCAAGTGCAGTGGAAGTGTGATGGTGGAGATGATGGTGGCGGCGAAGGTGAATCCAGGTCGCGACGCTCTCCAATTCGATCACGGGACCGGGAATCACGGGTTCTCAGGCGAATCGCAGCAGCTCACTGCGCCTCGCCGAGATGCAACGGACCACGGTCGCCGATTTTTTTATTTTTCAAAACTTTTTTTGGAAAAATATTCACAAACAGATTTACGATGGTTTGATTTTTGTTTATGGACCCTGATCTCGGCGCCATGGCTTTTGGTGTCGAGGAAACACGTCTCAGCGTTATGGCCAATGGCGCCGAGGTCTTGGCGAGGCGTCGGACGTGGCGGTGACCTCGCGCCGACGTGAACAAGGCCTCGGCGTCAAAGATCTTGGTGCCGAGCTGTTACCCTATAGATCTTGGCGTTTGAAATGAAACTCGTATAATTGTTCCGAGGAACAGAACAAGAAAAATTATTTCGAGGAACGTGCAATGATCTCATTGTGGTCCAGTTGGTTTGGACGCATGGGTCTCAGCCCATAGGCCTGGGCTCGAACCCAAGTAGCAAATATTTTTTTATTAAATTTTTATTTTTATAAGCAATTACAACAAGAAATATTATTCATTTATTATTAGCGTCCTAGGTTTCACTGCACACTGTATATTATTATTCCATTATTCCACCGTACACTGTATATTTAATTTATTTTTTATTTGATTTTGAAAAATTACGTACCCTGATCAAGTTGAGTTGAGTGACGTGTTTATATATATCTTGTTGCTTTGTCGTCCTTTTACTTACATGCATATGACTTTTGTCATCATATATAAGTTGAAGGCTTCCGAGACGAGGAGTAAATAAATAAAAGAATTTATTTTACATTAAGTAAGTGTAATCTTCTTTGCCTCCCTATTTCAGTGTTGAGCTCTTTAATTTGCATGCCTCCCTATTTTACATGAAATAGAATTAACAAGAAGAATAGGCTTAATGTATTAACTAAGAGTTCCATATTATCATCATTTGGACTGTTCAACTAAGTTTGGTGAAGAACGGAGGAGGATCTCCCCCTCATAAGAAAAACACTACTACCGAGGTATATAAACTAATAAATAAATAAATATATACATGATTATGATAATATAAGGAGGATTTGGATTTGGATATAAATATATACATGATTATGATAATATAAGGAGGATTTGGATTTAGATAATATATAAATAAATGCACCTTGAGATGTATCCTTCGTCCAAAACAAATTACAAATTAGTGAATAGTGTTCTCTCATGTTAATAATAACAAAGTTTGGTGGACCCAGGACGTTAGTAATAACTAAGTAAGCAAAAAAAAATATTAATAAATGCAGCAAACAAAAAAATTTGAGGAATTTGAACCTAGGTCTCATGTTAGAGCCAAGCATCCTAAACAACTAGGCTACAACTGAGATATAGCATGTTTCTCGAAATAATTTTTCTTGTTCTATTGCTTATAAAATATGTAGTAAAAAAAGATTCAACGCTGGGTTCGAACCCAGGCATTTGAGCTAAATTGTGCGTGTCCTAACCAGCTGAACCGCAATAACGTTGTTGCATGTTTCTCGGAACAATTATACTTGTTTCATCTTAAACGCCAAGATCTATAGGGTCGCCAAGATCTATGGTGCCGAGGCTTTGTCTACGTCGGCGCCAGGTCACCACCACGTCCGGCGCATCGCCAAGACCTCGGCGACATTGGCCATGACGCCAAGACGTGTTTCCTCGGCGCCAAAAGCCATGACGTCGAGGTCAGGGTCCATAAATGAAAATCAAACCACCAGGGATCTATTTGTGAATATTTTTCAAAAAAAAAACTGAAAAATAAAAAATTCGGCCACGGTCGTTTGCGAATCGAAGAGGAGAAGGGAAATCGAGGAAGAATCGGTGGATCTGAGTACAGGTGTTATTAGACGGAATTGTACGTAGGCGGAATTGGGGAAAGAAGCAAGCAAGAAGAAATAGCACGCAAGGTAGACGAGAACAAAGGAAGCTTAGTTGTATTCTGTTTTGGTAACTTCTCTTCCTTTAATACATCGGCGTGGCCACGGTGGCACGGTGTGACCATACAGGTGCAGCCATGTCTAAGCCTACGGTCACACCCACTCGGGTCGTCCAGTCGTCAGCGTGTTTGGGCGCCTGACTCGATTGCTTCTCTTTGGCGCTCGCTCTGAACCGTGTCCGTCTTCAGGTTCAGGTGATGGATCAGTAGCGTTGTTAACAAAATAACAGCCTACTTTTTGTACGGGCGTTGGTTCAGCCTCGCGCCCAGCTGGTGCTGGTTTTGTTTATGTTATGCGCCTGTTGGTAGCAGGGTGAACCGGGGTGAAGGGAAACGTGACCGGATTACGGGATTAGGCCAACAACTGCACAATAATAAACTACTACTACTACTAATCCTCCCTTTTGCGTTGCGTTGCTGCCTTTTAATCATTGGCACGCTGGGTGTAGCAATCTCGAACAGGGAAAAAAGGGGGCGGCCGTTTGCGTCCGGACTCCGGCGGAGTGCTGCACAACTCATTCGCCAACATTCGTCGTACTGATCCGCACCGGAATTCTGGGTTCGTTCGGCGGAGCTGTGCTCCTGATTCTCCGGCCGTGGTCTCTGATTCTTTATTGAATTGATTATGGGGCTAAAAATGATTCTCTTTGGTTCTTTAGCATAAACTCTTAAAATCACTATGAAAAATCACTTCACAGAATCAGAAAAAACTACTTTTTTCAGCTCTCAGCCTATTAGTTTATTTCAGAAAACCACTTTATAGAATCAACAGAGAATCGCTTTTACTCTGGAAAAAAACCGTTTGACAGCGGGGGAGTGATTCTCTCCATGGAGCCCGCCCAAACGCACCCTTGTATGTGTAAAATGCGCTGGAACCTTCCCCGCGTCCTGCAATGCAAGCCGCAAGGCGTTTTCAGCTTCCCGCCCCGTAGGCTGTATAGCCCGTGTGTGTATGCACCGTGGCCCGTGCTGGTGCTCCCCTCCCCCCTCCTTCACATGGCAGGCAGTATGGTACGAAGAATCTCAGAGCGGCCGCCGACCCTGTTCCGGACGCGGAATGCGATCACGCTGTCTGCGACCACCGTGGCAGGCGGCGCTCTACTGCTGTAGCCTGCCCGCGCGCGCGGTGCCCGGCCCGCCCAAAGACGCCGCCACGGCTGGCTGGCTGGCCCGCGAGGAAACCATAAAAAATACGAGTGAATTGACGCCGGGTCGCCGAGGCCGAGCTGTTGGGCGTTGAAAAACCTGCGTCGGGGCGGGGCGCGCGCGATGCCGCCGCCACGCCAGCACGCCCACCCACGACCCACCGGGGGGCGCGACCGGAGATGGCGGCGTCGTGCACGTATAACCGCGCCCACCTAACACGATCCCCCTTGCGGCGTCTCCACGACGGGACCGTCCGTTTTTTCTGATCTTCTCCCTCCCTCACGCTTGCGAGTTGCGAGCCGGTGTCGGTGTCGGTGCCTTGCGCGAGGACTGCACACTGGCCAGTGCGTCAGCGTGTGAATGTTCGTTCCGGTGGCCCGTCCATTTCTGCTGCAGGCCGCGAGAGCACGCTGCACGCACGTCCGTCCAGTCGCCCCCATCCAACCAATCCTCGGGAGTACGCAACCATTTCTAGCTCCGGCGTCTTGCGTTGAGTCTGTGAGGCCGTGACCATCTTCGGTTTACGTGTGTGTTTTTCAATGCCTCCGTGACGTGACCAGTTTGTAGCAAAATGACTCGTGCGCGCTGAATCAAAAATAAGCGCTGAGCTCTCGCGTCACGATCACCCGATAGCCGATATCGATATGTACGGCGTTGTTAGCTTGTTTTATAATTTTATTTTCAGCTTATTTTTTCAATCGAAACAGTGTTTTTCTCTCGTAACAAATTAGCCGAAACAGTGTTTCGGCTTTTTTTTTTGCGAAGCGAACGGGGCCTACGTCTCACTGTTCTATGATATGTAGGAGTAGTAGTACATGGTTTCTATTGGATTGGGTATACGCTAATAGCGCCAAGAGGCGTAATTCTGCTCGATGATTGGCTTTCCGACTCCAGTGGCCTGCCTAATTAAACAAGACGAATAATTCCGAATTCCGGTTGGTTACACCCACCGCCTCAAATATACGTTCTATGCCCCAGCAGTTCTCAAAAAAAGGGGAGCATGATCAGGGGAGGAGCTAGCTGTGGAGAGTGAGCACGTAGTACCGAGTACTGTTCGCCTGTGAAAGAACGGACAAAGATGGATGATTAATGACGCCAGAAAGGGCCGCAAAAGGCGACAGGAAAAGGAATCGGGGAAGATGAGCCCTCGCTTTCAGAATTCGGAGGACCAGAGACGCCATTACGGGCTACGGCGTCACCCACAGACATTTTACCTGATCCACTATCACTACGCGGGGGCGGAGCGCCGTACCGCGTACTGGAGCCGCAGACTGCAGAGCAGGTGGCGGGCTGGCGATGATGCACCGGCCGGCCAGATCGCCGCCGCCTCAGAGGGAGCAGCTAGAGTAAGTGCCGGTTCGTACTGCATGTGCTGCATTGCATTTTGCATTGGTTGATGTCGATGCCTTCACCGTGACAGTGAGTTTCTCAGTTTCATCGACCGAGAAGGCGAGGAGGAGGAAGCAAGATCCCGGAATATGGTGCACAGCGACCGGCGAGGGAGAACTAGAGAAGGGACAGACAACGAAGCCGAGGCTCCTGGATAAACTAATGAGCTACTAGACGTCAAGGAAACACTGAAAACTATCCAACTCGCACTGATCCTTACGCTACTTTGGAGCTGGCTGAGGAGTATACCACTAGTACTGTTCTTCCATAGCTCGGATATTCGGTCATAGTTTAGTTTCCGCCTCAAAACTTTACACCATGTCACATCGAATATTTAATTGCACAGATTTAAATATAGACTAAAAAAATAATTAATTGCACAGATTACGACTAATTTGCTAGATAAATCTTTTAAGCCTAATTAGTTCATAATTTGACAATAAAGTACTACAGTAACACACATGCTAATAATCGTGTTAATTAGGCTTAATAAATTCGCAGATTCTGTAATTTATTTTTTTATTAGTATCCGAACACCCCATGTAACACCTGATGTGATACCTCAAAACTTTACACCCCGGAACTCAACAAGACGTCAGTGTCATTGGAGCGGTAGTCCACACCCCCATAGGCCATAGCAGAAGAATCTCTTGAACTGCATGTGTACAGCTAATTGCTTGCTACGCATCATTGGATGGAGACGAAGCAGGATCCCGGGAAAAATAGTACCCGAAGCTTTCGTTGCACGGGACAGCCTACAAAGCCGAGGTTTGTTGGCATAAACAAATGGACTGCCACGGCCCACGGACACTTCAAGAGCACAAACGCAGGCACTCGAATTGACCTTCGCATTGATTGATTCCCTCCTGGTGGACCGTGGATGCAGCTATCTACCGGTGGTCCACTGGTCCATGAAGAAGTATCGATTGCATCGTGACGAAGACGAAGGCACGAGGGAGAGCTGCCTGCGGCTGCAAGCCTGAACAATGCGGGTTCGAGAAAGTGAGTGCCATGGCTCGGTACGCGCGTGCAGTGGAGGAGCGGCAGTGGAATGGACGAATGGGACGGGCGCGTCGCAGCCAGGGGCGGATCCAAGGCCCGGGCTGCCTGGGCTGTAGCCCGGGGCGCGGCCCATTAAGTCTAGGAACAAGTTTCACAGAAAAACACAAAAAAAAGCCTTGGCAGCCCAATAGCCCCCCTGGCATGAATGCAGCCCAACTAGTATTCTAGTTAGCCCTGGCTGCACGGCAAAGCACGCAGCGCAGCAACTCTTGGCCTGATCGGCTTTTCACATTCGCGCCTCGCTCCGTGCGGCCTGCGCGATTCGACTCCCTCGGGAAGTCACGATCGCGAGTCGGAGTCGCGACCTGGCGACGTCGCCCGCCGCCCGGTCGATCTCAGACTCCGCCACTCCGGCCTCCGCGATCTTCAGTGGGTAGCGGCACGTCGTCCACTGTCCACTCGGTCATCCTGCAGTCCTGCTCGGCTGTCCCTGCAGGAAGCACGCAGGTGAGAAGAGATCCAATATTCCCAATTCCCATCCCTAATTCTTTCAAGTATGTACCGTAGTCTGTAGAGTCAGGTGTCTAGAGGATGTTAATTGATAATTATTATTTCTTAATTCATATCCAATGTGTTTTAGGATGGAAAGATATTATGCTAAGAAAGATGCATCAAATAGTAATACAGGAAATAAAGAGACAGAGAGTCGGCTTGAACAGAAAAGACCGAGGATTGAACTTGATTTGAGAGATATAGTTGATGATCCAGGCAATAGAAAGCCAATTGATGAGTTTCATCATGGCATTAGGGATGAGGCTAGGAGAGCGTATCTACAGAAAGGTCCATATAGGCCAACTGGTCATAAGTTTCCAAAAACAAAAGTCAATGGTAAAGGTCAAGCAAGAGGATTTGTTGGATCATGGTTTGATCAATTTGATTGGTTAGAAGTGCAGTGTAGCCAAGGATCTGACCTATTGCTTTTATTGCTATCTCTTTAAGCCACAACAAATTGGGTTTCACAAGTAATGATACATTCACTAGAGTTGGGTTCGAGAAATTGGAAGAATGCAAAGGATTCTTTCAAGGAGCATGCTCAATCGATTGATGGCTTTCACAGTAATGCAATGAAGCGTGCACTTGACTTCAAAAATCAGAGACAAAGTGTTGAACATGTGTGTGGTGTGATAAGCGCAGCAGAAGAAGAGGCATATAAAGCTCGTTTAACTATTATGTTAGGCATTGCTAGATTTCTCCTTTTACAAGCTCTAGCCTTTCGTGGACATGATGAGTCTAAAACATCAAAAAACAAAGGGAACTTTCGGGAGATGCTTGAATGGTACAGAAAGAAGGATCCAAAGGCTGCACTTGTGACGGGTAAAAATGCTCCGAGCAATAATCAAATGAGTTGCCCAATAGTTGAGAAAAGATTTGGTTAGGGCTTGCGCTTGAGAGGAGACAAGTGAGTTAATTAAAAATGAAATTGGAGATCGTTGCTTTGCAGTGCTTGTTGATGAGGCTCGTGATGCATCTATTAAGGAACAAATGGCTGTGGTTGTGAGGTATATATCATCTCTTAATTTGTGTATTTCATTGATTTTATTTTTTCTTTCCAATAAATATATTTTTTCTTTTCTCTTATAGGTTTGTCAATGATAAAGGAAATGTCATTGAGAGGTTTCTTGGCATTGAACATGTTTCTGACACCACATCACATTCACTAAAGGAAGCATTGGATACTATGCTTAGGAGGTATGGTCTATCTATTTCCAAGATTAGAGGACAAGGATATGATGGAGCTTCAAACATGAAAGGACAGTTTCATGGATTACAAAGGCTGGTATTGAATGAAACCCCATTTGCCTTTTACATCCACTGTTTTGCTCATCAATTGCAACTTGTGGTAGTTTCTGTAGCCAAGTGTTGTACTTCAACATTTGATTTCTTCAATTATGTCACTTCAATTGTCAATATTGTTAGTGTTTCTTGCAAAAGAAAAGATCAACTCCTCCAAAATCACCATGACCATCTTGTTCAGCAATTAGATAGTGGTGATATTTTTTCTGGGAGAGGGAAAAATCAAGAAACTAGTCTTGCTAGGTCTGGTGATACACGGTGGGGAACACATCACAAAACATTGGTACGTCTTATGCTCATGTGGGGTTCTTTACTTGAGGTGTTAGAGAATGTTAGTGAAGATGGAACTGATGGGGAAAAGAAAACTATTGCATCTGGATTAATAACAAAAATGGAGTCATTTGAATTTATGTTCATATTACATCTTATGATTAGAGTATTGGGGTTGACTCAAGAAATATCACAATGTTTGCAAAGGAAAAATCAGAACATTGTTCGTGCAATAGGATTGATTGGTTCTGTGATGAGAAATATGAATGCCATGAGGGAAAATGGTTGGGATGAACTTTTTGAAGAGGTCAAAAGCTTTTGTGTCCAAAAGAAGATAGACATTCCTAATATGGAAGATATGATACCAGTTAGAGGTCATTCCAAATTCCGTGGTGCCAAATTAGTGACACACTACCATCATTTTCATCATGGAATTTTCATTGCTGTGATTGATCAGATTCTTTGTGAGTTAAACAATCGGTTTTCAGAAAGATCAACTCAACTCTTGAGATGTGTTGCTTGTCTTGATCCGAATGGTTCTTTTGCTAACTTTGAGATAGAGCAATTAGTTGAGTTTGCTAAGATCTATAAAGATGACTTCAGTGATTATGATTGTGAAAAGCTAAGGGGTGACCTCCTGGTATTTATTGATGATGTCAAACATGATAGAGATTTTGGCACATGTACTGATCTTGGTAACCTTGCTGAGAAGATGGTTCAAAGCGATAGACATACACAGTTTCCTTCGGTGTATCGTCTCATTGAACTTGCATTGATTTTGCCAGTGGCAACAGCAACAGTTGAAAGAGCATATTCCGCTATGAATATTATCAAGACCGAACGGAGGAATAAAATGAATGATGAATGGATGATGTTGACACCGTTTTTTGCACGTGTCAAAATGATCAGAGTGGGCTAATCGGCAGGAGGAAAGTTACTGTATACGCTGACAGCCGATGAAAATCAGCTTGTAAAGATGGATGCCGATGAATGGTGGTGATCGATGGAAAGGTTGATTTAGACTCGGGCGTTGCCGATAAGGTTGGAGATGTTAGTGTCGATGCCGATGAAGGAAGGCTTGAAAACTACTGCCGATGAAACAGGAAGTATGCCGATGGAAAGGAGGTCGGTGAGAATTCCATCGTAATTGAGGCGGACAGGGAAATAGATAGGAGTTGATTTACTTTTCTATATTTGTTAGAGTATGATTCATGTAAGAGTCACGTGTTTCCTTAGATATGGACTTGGTGTCCTAGTCGTATTTGGTTATGTCTCTTTAGATCGGGGTATAAATATAGATTGAGGGCAATGTAATATAGATGAATCAATATCAAAACCAATTTTACTCCTATTTGCATATACTTACTTTTCGGCGACTTCGTCAATTTGCATATTTTTCCTTTTTACGAGTTCTCATTGATTGGCGAGTTGCATCGCTTCAGGCGACCTTGGCGATTCTCGAGTTCCACGTGAGTACCTCTTGGCCGTGACTTACGGGCGTATCATTTGTTGTCGGGACCAAAGTGCTCAATATCTTCATCCTTGTCGATTAACAGTCAAATCGATTGCACGCTTTGGATATCGATTCGGGTATTAGCCCTTTGTGTTTGCAGATCCACTTTTGCATCAACACATCTTTTAGCACGCCGGTGGGACAAATCAATTCGATCAATATGATCAATCCGAGATCGATTCAGGGACAACATTATCGCGGTATCGGAAGATCTTAAGGAAGAAGCAGAGGCGTGCCATGGAAAAGGCTATAGAAGAATACAGCGACTTTGTGCGAGATCGTTTAACTTTGAACAAGAGTGGACAAGTCATCCGAAGCAAGATTTGTCGTTGCCTCGGCGAGTTACCTTTGACTCCAATCTGGTAAACTTCAAGAGATGGTTAATTCTGCGAAGAAATCATACTTTGATTAATCATTCCAATGTCTTTGTCCAATCATTATTCATAATGTTGTGGTTCAAACTCTCAAAGAAGGACAAGCCACCGCATTACGTTGGGCCGCCTATCACCAACCGAGCCGGCATCTGTCAATACTCCATCGGCTCCCTCGGCCGTTGTGGGGCTGTGGTTACTTCTCCTCCGAGATCGGCGGAGCTTACCTAATATTCAATCTACACCGATACGATCGGATCCGGTACTACCGGAGGACGAGTTCAGCTTAATCTGAGATCTATCGGCATTAGCTATATGGGCCACGTGTCTCGAATAGCCGATTCACCCGCTAATTGGTGGGGATATGGTATGCCTCCGAGTCATCGCTTTCAATCATGGGTTATCTCAAGTGTTTGATGCATGAGGAAAAGATTCTATACCATCAATTTGTTTAGCCGATGGCTCAAGTGCCTCAATATGCCACAGCAACTACCGTGCAACCAACTCTAGGAGGTTTCCAGATGCCTTTGGTTCAAACACCCAATTCAAGTCCATCGGCAAGCTTACTGCCGATGCAAAGTCAGTAAAGCCCCCGCTATGAGTCAAGCGGGGTTGATTCATGCCTCAAGTCTGGTTATAATTATCCAACAATGTCGACAAATTACCGACCATCGGTAAGTTTTGTACCGATGAGTTCTAATAATGGTTGGTCGGGACGATTACTGTTCAACATACGATTCAAACAAAATCAAGAGAGTTGCGTGGATTCAACAAGGTCATATGCAAGTGGTTTCAGAATCAAGCATCGGCAAATTTCGGCCGATGAATCTCCTTTTCGACAAGTTAATGGACCACAAGTAATGACAAATATGCCGATTCTTTGGAGATCGTGGGCCACAAAGATATGTGGAGGGATATCGCAGGTACCTCTGTAAAAATTCAGCCGATTAAATCACGCCAGGAGGTTGATGCTTTTTGGGGCGATAAGATAGCAGAAATTATGAAGGATTAGTTTGGGATAAAGCCCAAGGTCAATACTTATTCTTATCGGACTCCATACCCTCCTCCAAATCGGTACAAGGTACCAGATTTCACTAAATTCTCTGGGCAAGATGATACATCAATAATGGAACACGTCAATCGCTTTATTATTCAATGTGGAGAGGCGCTAGCGAGAGATGAATTAAGAGTTCGATTATTTTCATCATCTTTGTGCGGATCGGCATTTACATGGTTCATTTCATTACCACCAAATTCTATTATTACTTGGGCTGATCTAGAAAAACAATTTCATAAGTATTTCTTTCTTTGGAATCCATGAAAAGAAGCTTACCGATTTAGTAAAATTGAGACAACAGTAATGATGAATCGGTAGAAAGCTTTGTGCAAAGGCTACGAGATGTAAAAAATAAGTACTACTGACTGGTCTTTGGATGATCGGCGACTTGCCGATCCGGCTTTCAAGGGTTATTGCCACATCTTAAAGACAGATATGCTTCTCGGGAGTTTGAAAGCCTCGGACATCTTGTGCAAAGGATCTCTCGATCAAGATACTAGGGTTTTGAACCTAAAAAGAATTGGAGTAAAAAGTATCATTTGTTGAAGAAGTAGGAGATTCGATTTCGATGAAGAACCGATTATCGGCTTAGTTGAGTGGGTTAAGAATAAAAGCCGATATCTTGTCCCTTTGGTCGAAAGAGCGAGAAAAGTTTACCTTTGATATCACCAAGGCCGACAAGATATTTGATCTTCGCTTCAAGAGGGCCAAATTAAGCTGTCACCTAATCATGTGATCCCATCAGCAGAAGAGTTGAAGAAGATCTTGTACTGCAAATGGCACAATGCAACTTCATACAGTACAAATGAGTGCAAGGTGTTCAGGCAACAGTTACAATCGGCTATTGAATCTGGGAGAATTAAGTTTGGTACTTCCAAGGCCCAGAAGCCGATGAAAATTGATCAACACCCTTTTCTAGTAAATATGTTGGAG